AGATTATTACAAGAACCAAGAGATACGGCCAATCTAAAGTTTCGATTACTGTTTTCAACCTTCCATACACCTTGCGTAATATTATCTCGTTCAGAAAGGCGCGATTGATGACAGCTACTGAAGATTTCAATCGGTTTCGTTTGACCCTTATTGCAATGTTGAGGTTGTCACTCTTTTTCTGAGAATTTCGCTCTTGATCTCTTGTGGAATTGCACCTTGTTGTAGTTAAACGTCTTGCGTTTGTTTAAGACCCAAAAGACGCCGCTTGCCGAAGCACTGAAACTTGCTCTTAGTGCAGTCCTTCACGCCAGACTGGTTGCAGTATATCCTACTTTTACTTTCGAGGTTATTTCTTTAATATTCGCTATTACAACGAAGACCTCCGGTCGAGTATAAGCTAAAAGTTCAAACGCCATCTATTTTCAGAGCCAGCTAATTTAGCAGGCGAGTCGTCAAACATCTTAGTGAATTTCAAGTTCCACGCATACCATCCCGCTGTCTGTATCAAGTAAGACTTTTCACCGTCCCTGTTTCTGCATCGTTCGGTCGCTCGCTTTAGCCCACGATTTGATTCATCATAAATCTTCAGTTCTGCTGACGAAACTTGACTCACTAGCCAACGACGTTTCCTTATTAGAACTTCGTTAACCAAAGCTACGCATCAAATAATCCAGAGTTCAACCATGTTCAGTTTAATACTTTTAGTCATCAACCTTGCTCGTAAACCTGGTCCTTCTGGTTCCAGTTATCCTCAGAGAAACTCCTGACAGAACAGGCTTCTAAATGTTCGATTAGTCTTCCTCCCCTGTGCACTACTGTGACAAAAGATTTACACGTTCACACCATTAGAACTTCCACCGAAGTGCCTTCGACGACATTTTGCTCGAGTACTGTACCAACGCACTGAAAGGAAATTACTCGGGACTTTCGTTGTATGTGGCAGTTGTCAAGTCACTTTTGCAGCCACAGCTTGTACTTGTGGTAAAAGATATATTGATGTTCAATCATATGATTGGAAGATAATATTTTCTACAGAAAATTCTTCTGTTGAAAAGCACGGCATACACTCTGCCTGAGAGCTCGATGCTTCAGATCAATATTACAGGTCAACTCATATAAGCTTTTTTTATTGGGCAACAAACTTTGCTTCACATGTAGAAATGCAAAGCTATCACAGACATGAATGAAATGCTCCAAAGCAAATTTGTTTATTCACATGTTTACGTACATTTAACTGTCAGTAAAACGTAATCTCTGACATGACAAATAAAACATTAAAAATGTTTCGCGAGTACATGTTTTGTCGAAAAAACACGGCCGAAACAAACTTTGCATAAGAGTCATATCTCAGTCAAACAAATAAGTCGAAATTATATATCATAACAGCAGACTGCATGTCAACATCTTCTGAATAGTTGCTACTAAGGCAACACAATTCATTACTCTTACCAAAAGAATTAGCTTTCTGCTTTACAGAACAGTTCTAATTATTCTCAGATGATGATAAGCCGAATAAACAATTGCATTCTGAATTTTGAAACAATTGCATTCTGAACACGGCTTATCGAAACTACACAGTTGCAATATCTACATACACAGAGAAATCAAACATGAATGCTAGGCAAAAATCAAGTCATACACTTAGACACAACGGAAGTAACGCAATAAACGTGAATGACTATACAGTGCATTAAATTAGTGAAACATTCCCACAATTCACAATAAAATTCCAGAACAAAAATATAACCTAAATAGGAAGAAAGGAACGGCAACTATTGGCTTTAGTTTAATACGTCGCTCCGGCCGCTCACTAAACCAGGCAATTACAATCATTACAAAATTTTATGAACTCGTCGATTTGCTGATCATGTTCATTTTCAGTTTCCGGTGTCTGTACTTTGCTCGTCCCTTGTGTTGCTTCATTCGAAGCTGATTCGTTGAATCTGACACACCAATTGGTTGCCGCTAGACTCTCTTCATCGATAGGCGGGGGCGTAACAAGCGTCTCTGAAGGGAATGAATCGTTCTTCGTATTGTTGCAGACGTCTGTCTCGAAATTTTCAAAATTAAGGGTTGATATGTCGGCTGAATACGAATTAGCATCGATTGTTGCGGGCGGTGCTACTTGTTGAGGAAATGGTGTTTCCTGCGCGAGTATAGCATCCAGCCACGTTTTCATATCAGGTGTATTAGATGTGCCGCCTGGAGGCTGTTCTACTCCTTGGCACTGCGATGTTGTCGCAGGATTTGCTTTGAAGTAGCACGGGGCCAAGTCTGCTTGAGGAAGATACTCAGGGCTAGACGCACCGTTCATTACAGTTTCTTGTTCGACACCAGTTGGCTTCACAGTGGCAACGTTGCATTGCATTGCCGCAAAACTGATGTCTTCACATTTGCTTGCATGCTGATTAGTGTCAGTATCGGCACCTGCCCCACTCTTTGGACAAGCTATCTGACCAACATTTTGCATCACTGGAATTTCTGCACGAAAAGCGGAGGGCATTTTGCTAGTATGAGGATTCTCTCTTATGCCAAAAGCCGTTTCCTCGCTTGCATTCTGAAAACTGTTAAGACATTGGGTGGCACCGGTAGCTGGACCATTCTCCAAATGGGCCATCTGACAGTCGTTTTGGCACACTGGAATTTCTGGATGAAAAATGCAGGGC